ATTATAGATAACCTAGTAGTAAAAAATGCCTTTGGGTAGAATGCAGACTGTCCCAGTTTGCATTAACAGAAAGATAGATCAAAACAGATCTGTTAATGTGTTTCTATTACAGGAGGGAAAGTTTTGAAAACCTAAGGGAACCAATTATTTAAGTGAGACAGAGAATTTATGGACTTGATAATTGATGGGGCTTGAAAATTACTGAAAACTGCCCAAGCAAGTCATGTAGAGAAATAGTCCAATTCTAAAGGGACTAATTACGGCCTCGGCAGCACGTAAGAATAACACAAATTTTGCAATGAATGGAGTATATGGCTACTCATTTTGAAACTTACAGCATGCAGGTATTTTATTAAAAATACAAGATAATAACTGGAGAGCTGCACAGATCAAAATCAGCAAGTGTACTTAACCTGTACTCAAGAAATCTTGAAAGAACTAAGCAGGCTAGATTAAAATGGCTACAAAATTGTACTAAACTTTCTTTTTGAAGGAAAGATTAATAAATAATTGGACACCATGAACACGGGTTTATCAAATGATAGTTTATGACTAACATGACACATTTTGTCAGCTGACTTATCCAAAGCAGGGCTGATGTGGTTTAGTTTTTGTATGACTCTTACTGGCACACAAGGAGCGGCAGCACGCAGCAGGAAGACAACCACTGGCACAATGGGGGTTCAGATCATCCCCCAGAGTATGCCTTACAGTTGCAGTCATAGAAATTAAGCAAAACAGCAGGAGATGAAAGGTTATGGGTATCGTGGTTCACATCAGTAATTTTTATAAGTTGGTGGCAGGGTTGGAAACAGGGTCATAATTTGAAAAGTTCTTCTAACTAGTAGCCCCCAGGACCTTTCTGCTCCTAAATGGCTATTACCCATCAGTGTAACGACACCACAGAAAAAAAGATGATTACAGTTGTAGAATACATCATGAGAGGAGAAAAGCTCTAGCATTTAATCTAAAAATAACTGTTTTAACTACCCATGCTCAAAAGCACATTTAAATAGAAAAAGTACAGAGAAGGGGATGATATTCAGAAAGGAGACCTTATTTTGAGCAGACTAGAGGAACTGGTTTGCCTAGCCTACAAGATAAACCTTCAGAGACGATGCTTACTCTTTTTAAATACATCAAGGACCTGGGCATGATAGGGAAAATTAACCAAAAAAACCTAAACCAAGTTATTTAGGTTAAAAACACACACAGTGAGTTAGGTACAAACAAATACACAGTGCAAGTTACATTTGCAGCCCATAAGAGAAATATGATTCTATAACAGGCTTCCATTCCAACTTGCTTTCTGCAACAGACATTTGACTTGCTCATCTGTAACAGGAGGCAAATGAAACTTTGCCACCTAACAGCTTCTGTTTTGATTTCTGCATTAAAAAAGGAGGATTTTTTTTTTTTTATAGTACCTAAGTTCTTCTTGGAAATCCCAACAGCTAGACCAAGAAATTGTCATCTTTTCTAAATTCCGTAGCTGTCTTAGCACTCCCACATCACCTACAGTGCACAGTTCATTTGCTCTGTGACACACAAGGAGACACACCAATTCTCTGTCGAGAGGCATTACTCTGCAGACAGAAAATACACACGTAACAGTAAAAACCAAATTCTACTTTATAATTATACCTCCGTGTCCTGTTTTGAGGTAAAACAGAACCAATTTTGGTCAGTAACTTCGCTTCTTAGCTGGGCCTCTCTAACAACTGAAATTAACAACACTCTGAGAGAGTGAACATTGTCTGCACAAGATGCTAAGACCTGTGTTTACAGCTGATGCCCAGGCATGGTGTGCAGAGAGGACCTTGCTTATACGCATTGCTGTAACACCCAAGGCCAACCAACTTTGGTATTTGCCCCGTTGGAGGGTCAGAAGCGGAAAAGTATAGTGGAGTCCCACCTGTGGAGGGAAGAGGACAGGACAGGTGACCCCAAACTGACCAATGAGGGTATTCCATCCCATCTGCCTCATGCTCAGTATAAAGGCTGAGGGATCAAAGGGTCAGGGCTCTTCCTTCCATGGCCGAGGTTTGAGGAGGACTCTGTTCGTCTGCCTGCGATCCCGATCCTGAATGCAGATCCGGAATCCAGTTCCCGTCCGTCACTGAGTCAGCCTGGGACTGCCCCAGTGCCAGCCGGTGTCGTGATTGTCATCTCGGGAGCTTGATAAGGTTTTGTATAGATTTCATTATTTCTTTTTTTTATTATTAATATTTTATTAAAGTAGTTTAGCTCCTTCTAAACTTGTCTCTTTTTTCTCCTCTGCCCCTCTCTTTGAAGAGGGGTAGAGGAGAGCATCTGTCAGTCCCATCTGGGGTCCCCCAGGTCCCCAGTAACCGATTTGGCCTAAACCACGACACTTCATCATAGCCATAAGGCATTCTTACTATCTGAACCTATTATAGTTTGAGATCTTTCCTCCGAATCTTCCTTATCACTTTTCTGTAGCCTTCGCTGTCCTTTCATCAAAATCACCATGCTTCATTAAGCCGCCTTTTAGCTCTGTTGAAGAAGCTGTAGCAACGGACACTATTATTGCTTTGTTCAAACACCAGTTTCTCTTCCAACACTAGTCATCAGCATTTTAAAGCCACAGCTAAAAAAATAATTGTGGCACCCAAAAGCTGTTCTGTTACAAACACTATTTTATTGCTCTTAGATACACTTCTACGGATGGCATTTGATGACAAACCAGTGTTCATAAAGATCTGAACTACACCAACAGAACCTGAAACAACTATTCAGTTCATGGGCTGATGTTGTGAGCCACATTAAATGCACTATGCTACAGCAAAAGGGCGTGTTTCAGGGGAAAAAAAGCAAACCAGAAAACCTCACTGAAGGAAAGCAACTCAATACTTACCACTTAACAGCATTATTGGCATGAGTGAAGTAACCATTACAGAGTTACACCAGCACTTGTCATACCCTGTGTCTTTAACTGAGGCAGGCACAATAGAAGTGGATGTGAAAAGGACTTTCTACACATGCTGTCAACAGGGCCACCAATTTAAACATCTGACTGCCATATTCAAATTGGTAGAAGTACCCTGACAGCACTCTGCACAGCTGCTAGATTACCTTCAATTACATAGGCACCCATGTCAGCACAACCCTGACTACAGCTACAAACTGAAAGCTATCAATTGTTTCCAAACAGCCACAAATTTGTAGCAGTATCAGTTTTGATAAGCTACAGAATATTAATCTTCTGGTAAGAGTTATAGTTATTGCTGCTGTACTCATTTTCCAGGCTATCACACCATCTGAGCCTAAAGCCTTATGAAACTTGCAGGGCAATGCACATGTTCCTGCTCAGAGCAACAGTAACGCAGCACACTACGGAGACATTTAACAGCAGCTCTCCAGAACAGCTCAGTGTGGAAGCAAAGCCAAACAGAATGTTCCATATTAATCAACCCACAACACTGAAGATAAGAATTCTGCAGCACAGATTATGGTGACAGTCTACCCACTGTGAGGCTCACTGGTTAACAGGTCATTATTCTGAGTAGTCTGAAGAGTGTTTGAGAACACCTCATAGCTTAGGAAACCTATTTAAACATCTATCCAGCTAAAAAAAAAATAAAGCCCAACTTCAGTTTCGAAACCCAATTTTCCCCACCCTCTATTTTTATATATAAAGACAATTAGTGTTTAATTAAATGTCAATATTGTGCAATTTGAAGGGGTTCCCAGTATACACCAGCTGTCAAAAGCACTTCAGGAGTTTCACAAAATACACCCCAAGACCTTCAGATTTAAGATTTTATTTAGACACATCCAGCATGGTACACGATTGTAGCTATCCTTTTCCCACTGAAAGATGCCGTGTAGAAGACTTCAACTCTGCAAGAAAAGAAAAAAAGAATTAAATTGAAGAACTCCGTTACCTTTGAATCTAGAAAAGCTATAAAGATAGGCTTTAACTACAGTTTTGATGGGCTTTGCTTCATCCACCACATGCTGTTGTAGCAGAAGACCTAACTTACATGAAATCATATAGTTCTAAATACTCAAGTTCAATTCAAGTCTCCCCATATCCCTGTAGTTTTTTTTCCTCCTTATTCTAGGGAGCCAAAACCATCACACTGGCAAAGGAACTACACAGATTACTTCAATTTGTTCCAATTACGAGATTCCAGTGACGACTGTTATCTCCTTCCAAGAACTACTTGTATCACCCCAGCTCCTCAAAAAGATTCATTGCTTCTCAGATTACAGAATTAACAATACCAGGTATTTCCAAAATGGAATCAGATTAAGATAAATTGAAGTGGCCTTTCAAGTGGAAATGGCGTGCTTGCACAGTCTGAACTGTCTGAGGCTTGCTTTGTCTGTCAAGGTTCATCAGCAAGCATCAATTAAAATCAATTCTGCTGCAACCTTACTTTAAGCGCACATTATCCTGTAAATGGTTAGGAACATTGCATGTAGACAGTGTGATTGTTTTAACAGGGCTGAACTGAAGTTCAAGAAATTTGTCTTCCACAGAGTCTTAACTGGCACATCAGAAAGCGTTTACAGTATCACAGTTTCTCATACTGTTTTGTTCACATCACACATGCCAGTTATTCCTACATATTACATGAAGCATAGCTTTATGTCTCCTCAAAGGTGGCAGACATAGTTTTGGTTATAATTATTATCCAAATTAAGTCAGTAGCACTGCTCTGTCAGTTAACCCAGCCGTAGACTAACAAGAAGCTGCAGTCAGAGAGGTGTGGCCTTTGGGGAGTCAAAGTTCACAAGTCAATGTGAGTGCAGCAGCCCTCTGAAGCAAACTTAAAACTATTAATTATTTGAGTTTATATGCAACTGCAGACCACAACTCTAAGCACCCAGACTGCGAAAGGCTGAAAACTGTAATAATGGTTTTAGATGAGGCTAGACTCTTTAAAGCTCAGTTTTGAATGCAGATTCCACTATGCTACGAAATCTAACCGAATCAGTTACCCAGTTAGTACAATTACAGTCCATCCTCTTCATTTCTTCAGAAGCTGGTGTCTGACTATAAAGAAAGGGGCAACAAATCCACTTCCAAAGAATCCACACATTAGTACAAGTAATCGCCATTTGTTGTCCACAGAAAATGGAAGGTTCTGGAACAAAAAAAAAGAAATTTAATTTTGCATTCAATACAGTACTTCCCCATTGACTTGAAAACGGTGAGAAGCTCAGCGCACTAACAGGTGGAGTCAAAGTGACAAAACAAGTATTCAGTCTCAAACCAATTCCCCTTCCTCTCAAGGAAAGAAACACAGTAGTTTGAATAATAGCTTAGATGTGACCTCTGGAGGTCATTTTGTCCATTCTTCCCCTCTCCACCCAAGTCAAGGCAGGGCGAGTTTGCTGAAGGCCTTATTCAATCAAGCCTAGATGTCCTTTCTGAAGACACAGATGCCACAGCATCTCTAGGCAACCTGTTCTGATATTTAATTACCTTCATTGTAAAGATTTTTCTCATGTTCATGAAGTAAGTGTAAAATTAGTTTATAGATGTAGAACTTAGGAGAACATATTAAGCACAAGGTACATCAGAAAGCGTTTACAGTATCATTGTTGCCCCTCATACTGCAATGCTCATCATCTGTACCACCGAAGCAGAAGGTTGCAGGCAAGGACACTGAAGTCATTTGCACCACAATTCGCTGTGCTGTGGCCTTAACAGCGGTATCACCAGACCCCAAAACCCACCCAAAACCAGCTTACAACAGGGCAGTCATCACTCTGCTCCTCACGACTCATCGAGTGAGGAGCTCACCTTGAGCAGGCCCGAGGCGGGACAGGCCTGCGCCTCATCCGGGCGCCCACGGCGAGCCAGAGCAGACCCGCACTGCGGCTCCAACGATGCCCTTACGGCCCCTCTCTCCAGCAACCTCCCGATTTCCCCCCCCAACCCCTCACCCAGCAGCGGCGGCGGGGCTCGCCCCCGGCCTAGGCC